AGCTTCAGACCAGTGTATAAAAATTGTTGCCGCATCACTGCACAGAGGGTGGTGGAATTCATTGCTGGAAAATGTTGAACTCACTGCCGGAAGATATGGTTGAAGCAAAAAAAAAACTTCAATGTATTTAAGAAAAAAAATGATGGATACATGGGGGAGAGGGGAGTAAGAGGGATGGAGTTTATGTGGAGTATAAACACCAGCACGGACTAGTTGCACCAAATGGCCTGTTTTCGGGCTATAATATTTCATGTAATTTTATTAGTTCCTCTCCGTGTGAGTGAGCACCTTCAGGGAACATCATTTGAAACAGCAAAACAATTCTAATATTCAATACAAAGAGAAGTAAATAACTAATTTCTCTCCATGTGACTTTTTTGGTCAAAAAAAATCATGTGCCGTTTTGAAAGAATGTCACTTTCCCACATTACGCTAATATCTTTCTATAGTTTCTCTTGTATGTCCTTCACTGGTGCCAAGAATGAACAGAGTGCTATTGTCTTTATTGCGCTATATAGACATATGTGCTACCTAAACATGGCCAGCCTACAGATGGGTTGCATATAAAACATTTAAAATTTGCACAAGTTAGCTTTTTTCAAAAAAAAACTTGGTTTAAGTAAACATTCTCCGATCGTATAGCAGACATAATAGGGTAACTTCTGGAAAAAGAACAGAAAACTGCATTATTTTTCACTTGAACTGAAAACATTTATTGGAGCGAAATTTTTGACTTCAGACCTTCTTTGCTAAATGTGTTCCTGTTTTATGGAGAAACCAGTTAATACAACCAATGTACCACTGAGTTTAATTCGGTGCTAAAGCCCAAAAGATTGTGTTTAAATTCATGATTTTAAAAAAAACTCCAACTTTTAAGTTACACGTTACAAACATCTGAATGTCCAGACAGATGGTAGCTGTCCACACCATGTGACTGTTCTCTAGACTTATTACTTGCCCTGCAAAGGAGCACAGAATTTATAGCTCCTCGTCTGGTGCCAGCATCTGTTCCTAACTGAACCCAGGAAAAAGGACTCATAACAGTCAAGTAGGAAAATAACGACTGTTATGGGGCTCAAGGAATGTCCCAGTGTATCAATAAAAAATCATTTTCGACAACTCAGTAAAATATTTAAATTGTCAAGCATCGTTCTGTTTCTTTGTGTAATGTATTTAGTAATAAACATTTAAAGCAAACTCTGGTTATGGAAGGGAATGCAATGAAACACTTTTCTGTTTAGTTCAATGTAATTTTTTTCTAGATTATTTAATAGGGGTTTTGGATCTTCAAAGTAGAGAAAAATAATTAGATCCATACATTAGATATAACTTGGTACTTAAAACAGAATAACATGTGCTAATGGATTGTGAGTATACTGGGATACAGATTATACTTTTCTTTGACTATGAAAGGCTACAGTTTCACAGACGTTATGCTTTTAAGCCTGCACGTGGTAGGTTTAGTGATCTCAGCAAAACTCAAAATATATTTAATAGTAGAAAATTTAAAAAGATTGGTGGGAAACCTCACTTTTTTTTGTTTGCCTCTGTCTCTCTCCTTACTCCCTCCTCTCTTAAGGCTCATGTTAGGGCACAATTCCTTGATTGCTGGAGGCGCTTTGGTACATGATCATTTGTTATGTGAGTCCGTGCATGAATTTGGACTGTACTTTAGCCAAATTCTATTTACTTTTCACTTAACTTCAGCAAACACTAAGGGTAATCTTTTCATTGTAATCAGGAAAAGATACGTTAGTCTATTGCTTTACCCCTCTAACATCCAGCAATGCAGAGGGAAATTGTCTATTACTATTGATGTTAGAATCATAGCATTTTATTCCAATTTCCATCAAACACTGAAGGAAGTTAAAGCAAATGGGAATATATTGATCCTTATATCAGTGGGGGTTTTATAAGTGAATCTCCAGTCTAGGCACCAACTTTACATTTATATACAAAACACTGCTTGTCATCTATTTTATTCATAACATTTCTATCCATAGAAAGTGAGCATTTTCCTCTTACTAATTATAGCTCATAATTGCTTCAGATAAACTGTAAGGAACATTTTGTCACCTCATTTATGATGCTTAACTGCCAGATACATTGAAATCTATTGGTAAATTCACTTCCATTTGAGATCAGTCTTGATTTGAACAAAATGAGATAATAATTCTATTTGTAATTTTAAACAAATCATAATCTTTGGCATTTGGTATAGGTACCTTTCACATTAGGATGACATATAAGAGCTTTATGGGATCCAATGTTCAGTGACTGTATTTTGCAGACAAATGGTTATTAAGTACATATTGACCATTGTTCAAATTAAAAGTAACATGAAATTAAAACTGAGTGTAGGAATAGCTACAAATGTACACAGAAAATCCCTGTGTTTTTATGGATGAATTCTTGTGCTGATGAAAGTGAGGGGTTCAGATGCAGAGTAAAGATCCCTAGAGTAAAGATTCTGCTTTTATTTTGGAGTCTTCTGTTTGCCCATCCTCAGACCTCATTCAACATATCACACAGCCTTTCTACTTGTTATAACAGCTATGTTTCTGGCCTCACTTGTCAGTTCATGTTGAACTGTGGGTATGTTGTGCTGTGCACCTGTCCCCACTTTGAACTGGGTTGAAACTGTCCAAGTTAATTTCCCAATGGTTCCTTTACAACTAGCAGAGAGGAGACTTTCATCCCACAAGTCTGCCCTGGATCCGTACCCAGCTCCCAGAGTTGAAAGAACAAAGTGCTACCTCCCAGCGCCAACCATCATTGATGAGCTCTCCCTGATCTAGACAATACATCTATATTGACACGTTGCAAGTTTCCTTATGTGCTGTAGTCAAGAGACTACATGATTGGAATTCTTCTGCCAAACAAGTTAATAACTATTGCTGGGTAAGTGAAGCAAGCTTGTTTTTACTATGTGAATGAAATGATCAAAATCTATTTGTACTTGGAATTAGATGTAGAACAGGGACCTTGTACGTTGAGTTGAAACTTCTGAAGCTGAGTAGTTAATAATCCTTCAGATAAATTGAGCATTTATTCCAAGGCTGTTTGTGGGACAGTGCTGTTTTGCTTTCTTCTATATTTCAGCAAATTTATCATACAGGCCAGAATATCTATTTGTATACTGATGCCTGACCTGTTCCAAAAAGAAAGAGACTGTTTATTACCTAAACCGCAAGGAGAAACAAACTGTTTTTATTCGTAGTCAAAGTGAGAAATGGATCTGATCACAAAGAGTACAATTGTACTCTTCTTTGGTTTAAAAAATTAAGTTACAGTTTAAATATGAATGTTTCAGGGCATACTTCTTAATATATAAGGCACATTTGGAAAAATATTTTCAGTGCAATTTTCATTCTCGTGGAATAAAAGTATCTTTTTTGGTTTTGTAGGTGTGACTTACACTCAGGTAGAATTTATTCACTGACAGTAGAATGAAAAACAGATGTTATTGCTAGTCATCTAAATGCTCTTAACCAACAAACATCTGTTTTCTATCAACCTGAAACCATCTAAATTTTGTCATGTGGAAACAGTGCTTCAGTTAAATTTATTATAGGCCAAAATAAGTACGAAGTGGGAGTTCCTTTTTTGGCACATTTATTGCAATCCAATTGCACCACAGAGTGTAAGTAAATGAATAGTTATAACATTATAGCACTTGTTTTGGTATTTAGACAGGCAGAACTGAATGCCTAAAATATTGCTTAAGTTCAGCATTCATCTGAAGTGTTCATCTTCAAGTTTATTCAGTTATTATTTTCACCCATATGGGCACCTTTTAATCTGATGAATTAAGGTTTTGTAACAAAAGACCTGAGTCATTTATTTTCTAAGCATTTCAGTCCATTTGCTCTAAATGATTTCAGTGTTTAAGTAAGAGAGATGAGTTTAAACATGAATACTTCACATTAAATTGATTCCTTCTAGCAGCCTATATTGGGACCAAATGTTACAACTGTACCAGATGAATTACAAATAGAATATCAAAACTATGTACTAAATAATATTCACGTCCAAACATCAATGTAATATGGTTCCAAATATGCTTATAAATCACCCAAACACCATTGACTACCCTTTCTTCCCATTCGGCTGCTGATGTGTAGGGAATACAGTGAGTCCGATTTATTTGTTTTGCATCTCAAACATTTCATTTATAAATATCGAAGCAGCTTATTAGAAATGGTGCAATTGTTACAATGCATTGTTGCCAGACACGGACTATACTGAACAGGATTTACTTGAACCTGCAGGATTCATATGAATCTTTTCACTGTTTTAAGTAATCCAATTTTTTTTAATGGTTTATCTAAGCGCGTTTTCTTTTCCTGTTTACAATAATGTATAATAATCCTTGCATTTGATATAGTGCTTTTCACGTCTTCTAGACGTCTCAAAGCAGTTCACAGAAGTGAAGTGACTGTATATTTGTGGGTGGAACGCGGCAGACAATTGCACACAGGGTCCCGCAAACAGTCTACTACTGTTACTGTTTACTACTGTATTATTTATTATACAATGCGCTACATGAGAAACAATGGGCACTGATACATGGGGGGGAAAAAAAAGTAATTTTTTTTTAAAAAAAAGACAAAAAAAAAAGCTGTCTTTTTCAACATAACAGTAAAATAGCAATAATAATCCGTGCGTTGCGTAAAGTGCCATATTGCGTCGGTCGATACGGCTTTCAAGTTTTACTGCGAAGCGTCGTGACCGTGTATTGCATTTGCAATGTTTGGAACTGCAGAGTTTTACAGACGGGCCCTGTCCATCCGCCAACTGCACAGACAGTTAGTGACACAGACAGACAGACACAGATCGACAATGGACAGACAGACACAGACAGACACACAGACTGTATGAGAGGCTGCACGTGGTTTGTGCAGGGAGCAGGATGCTCGGCGGTCGATTGAGCACGCCCGGTGAGGGAGAGTGTCGATCGCCGGCGGCTCGTCGAGCAGCCGGCGCCGTGGCGCCGCCATGTTGGTGAGGGAATGTGCGGCTGCTGGGCTCGGGGCCTGGTGTCGGGCACTGCGGCGGCTGCACTCACCCACTCACTCACTCACTCACTCACCCCCAACCCCAGCGAGTCGGGGCCGGAGCTGCCGAGTAACCAGGGGCTGAAGTGTCAGCAGCAGCAGCGGCGGCGGCGCCGCGGTGACGAGATGTTTAAGAGAATGGCCGAGTTCGGTCCCGACTCCGGGGGGAGAGTGAAGGTAAAAGGCGCCCTCTCTCCCCCCCCCACCCCCACACCTCCCTCTTAAAGGGACAGGCGCCCCGGCACTGCGGGCTTGCAAGCCCGAAATTTATATCCGCCAACAAACCAGCAGCTTGTTGTCAGGTGGGGGTGGGGGGGTGGGGGGGGGAGGACACGGAGCTGCCTGTAAATGGACCCGAGGATGCACCTCTGCACTGAACCTCTGCGTGGGCGAGTCTCATCGATTGCAAATTGATTTTGAGGGGGAAACCCCCCCCACTCCCCCAAATACTCAGTTGCTTTTCCTCAGTAACTTGGAAGTCTAAAGCCCCCCCTAAATGACCTCAAATACATTCTCCTTTAGTCTGATTGCTAAACGTGTGTGTGTGTGTGTGGTGGGGGGAGGGGGGGTTGGGGGGGAATGGAAGGATTGTAATATATCTTAATGTAGATCATGAAATGCTTAGTTGTTTGATTTCATAAAATGCTCCACCAAATATTCACAACTAACCACTGAGGAGAGGCCGGTGATGTCTATCAAAACTGCAATGCACCATAACTCATCCCCGCTGCGTAAGAGCTAAGGTTGTCCTACAGTAATATAATAATAATAATAATCCTTGCATTTGATATAGCGCTTTTCACGTCGGGAGGACGTCCCAAAGCGCTTCACAGAACACACTGTAAAGTGAATTGACTGTATATTTGTGGGCGAACGCGGCAGCCAATTGCGCACAGCAATGTCCCACAAACAGTCGTAGATTGAAAATGACCAATTTATTATTGTTTTTGGTTTTGGAGGGATTATTATTATGCTCTGTGTGGAGTAAGGAAACTTGCCCAAGGTTTCGCCCTCTGCCTGGAATTGAACTCCGGTCTCTCACTTGCAAAGCGAGTGCTCTAACCACTGAGCTACAGGACTCCACAGATTGGATTTGCCCAACCTGTGCGGTGTGTTAGCTACAATCAAATGCAAGGATTATTATTATAGCTATATATTTTTTTTAAAAAACCATAAACACGAGTTTCCCTTTGTAGAAAAGCTGAATTCTGATGTAGGGTTTCCCGTTCCGTCCCATCCTGTGAAAATCCAAATTGAAGGACCCGCATCTGCTTTTAGATTGGTTGGATAACAATTCTTGCATTCGATATAGTGATTTTCGTGTCTCGAGGACGTCTCAAAGCACTTTGCAGGATTTACTGTGAAATGCGTGAATGTATTTTATAGACAAGCTAGCTATATCTTGAGGTAGTAAATTACTGTTCCAGTTTATTCTCCAAATAGCAGATGCATGAAAGTGAATACTGTGAAATTTTAGTTTAATCAAGTACCCTCTTTTGTGGCCTCACACAATTTCCTGATCGTCATTATTCTCAATTAAATGACAGCAATAATTTATTACTTTTTAAAGGGAAGACAAATTCCTTGGCTGGTGGAGAGGTTGCTTAGTTTGATGTATTCTGTGTGGCATTGTGTTACAACTTGATATCGAACGAAATGAGGAATGCTCCAGTGCATTCAAATTATTTCTGGTTGTAGACCAGTGACTTTCAAGGATTCTCCCATCCTGTTGTGCAGTTATTAAAAAGTGAAATGTTTTCTTAAAATATCGGAATCATTCAGATTCTAATTTATTTTTGTCTAAATGTTCTTGCTTCTACAGGGTGTAACTATAGTTAAACCAATAGTCTATGGGAATGTTGCTCGTTATTTTGGAAAGAAAAGAGAGGAAGACGGGCACACTCATCAATGGACAGTATATGTTAAACCATACAGGAATGAGGTAAGAGCTGCTTGCACCTAAATGGTATATACTAAAGGATCAAGACTATCTGGAGCACTGAAATGAACAAATGCTACACCAAATGAATGAACGGTTTTGTCAGTCACAATTAGAAGTTTCCTTTTGAGCCCGTTCAGTGGAACAACTGGCATGATAAATGCAATCTTAACATCTGCAAGTTTTATTAAGTGTGCAAATGTTTTTATTTTGACTTTGCTTCACGATTTAATGTATTGGGAATAAATCCATTGCGACTCTTGTTGACGTGATAAAATAGTGAATTGTTGCTCACACAACAGCTATTTTGTAAAACAGAAGTTCCTTTTCTTCAAATGTTAAATTTGAAGGTTAATCTCATACTTTAATGTATGTATAAACATTACAGTTAATATTTTGTTTAATTTCACAAGTTTTTAGGTGGATATAAATATATTAGTACAATTATCTTGAACTATAAAATACTGATTTAAATGTACAGGAAACTATTTCAAACCTCTGAGCTTCAGTTGTGTAAATGGTTGTGGTATTCATAATTTTTCCCTCAGGTTTAATAAATTCTGTCAAGAGAATAGAATACAGCATGATTATTACTTGGGGAACGCAACAGATTTTACTGTTTTTCTTAATACATTTGTTCAGGAAGTCTTTTTTTGATGTTTTGGAAAACTTGGAAACTATTATAGCAATAAAACCTTTTTATGAAATATCACACTTGACATAAAAGCCTCATGTTTTTCCATATAAAGGCAGCACATCGGCCTTAACCAGCTATTTATTACCTTGTATGTTACCTCACAACAGATTTAACTTAACATGAGTATTAAGTACACTGACTACAGTGGCACTACTAAAGTATTTTTGTTTTCTTGTGCCACATTTCCCCACAATTTATATGGCTGGGGCGGTTTTGTTCACCCCTTAATAATCAAGGATTTAATTGTGGAATAACTGGTGAATTAAGTGCTCAATTACTTCAGAGTGCTTAAACATACAATCATGTCAAATGAGCAGTTCATGTGCAAAGCATGTTTGGCTCCATTATTTCACCTTCATGACCTGATTTGTCTTCAGAAGTGACGCTTTGCTGATGATATCACTCTCTACAAAGTAAACTCCTGAAATGAAGGACAAATGTTGACCAGATCACTGCTGATGCATCTGGGTAGATAAATTGTGTTATCTTCAATGTAGAGAGAACCAAATCATTAACTTGGTTAAGAATATTTTCATTGTGATCTTGCTCACCTTCCTATACAGTACCAATCTCTCTTCAATTATAAACATTCAGCTGTTAAGTAGTCTCGCAATGGATCAGTTGATGATAATCTCTTCAGGTAAGAAGATTGAGGGTTCAAGCTTCATGCCGGGATTTTAAGTTTATAATTGAAACTCCATTGCAATAGTGAGTAAGCAAGGCGTGGTTGGAAGTATCATCTGAAGCTGTATTTGCCTGTTCTGGGGGTTCAAGTGGATATTAAGGATCCTGGATTAGTATTTTCAAGTAGAGCCAGAACTGGTGATCTTGTCAATGTTTTCCCTCATCCAAAAGTGATTAATTTATAGGCTTTCATTACCTTGTTAGAGAATGGTTTGATCGTGCCTTTTTTGCATATCTAATTATATGGCGCTCTAAATTACTTTACAATTGTACTCAATTTTTGAAAGTTAAACTCATGACTCAATGCTGTACTTGATTTTGCTTTGAAACCATTTATTTACCTTTGCAGGAATAGCCAAGCATGAAGAAGGAGATGCATTTACCACTATAATAATCTTTGCATTTGATATAGCGCTTTTCACGTCGGGAGGATGTCCCAAAGCCCTTCACTGATATCTTAAGCATCTTGTATTAGATTGTCATTGTAAAAGCTATGGCATTAACCTTATCCATCTACGTGTTACCTTATACTTGTTTTGATAAATAAGGAAAGCTCATAGAATATATTCCCATTCTGTCTTTTTAGTGGTTCATTTTTTTAGCTGGAAGAGATCAGTATGCTGAACACTAAATTGTTTCTGTTTACTACAGGACATGTCAGCATATGTAAAGAAAATTCAATTCAAACTACATGAAAGTTATGGTAATCCTCTGAGAGGTGAGTCAAAAAGAAAAATGTTAATATAGTTATTATTTATTATAGTTGCTACTGTCAATTTTGATGAATTGTCTACAACATAAATATAAACCTGTATATGTTTCTTAGTTATTCAAAAATGTATTCCAATACTTTATTTAAAAACGTTGGCAAACCTTTTGCATGCTAAATCACCAGTGAAAGATGTACAATTCTGTGAATTCTATACCATATTTTTCAAGGTTTTCTGTTTGATATTTTGTGCACAGGTCTCAAAATGCAGGCATTATAAACAATTCCCAACATGATTGGAATAGAACATAGCAGTGTTCTGCTTTGTGATACAGTACTCTGCCTTGTGGGTGGATTCTCTCAACTTCTTCCCACTTGATACAACTGGTGAGCCAGTGTCTCAGAGTTTGATTATAGGAGGATATCTTGATAAATTAATGCCAAACCTGATAAGTGCATCTATGGAGATTTTTAATGGTTAACCTATTCACTGTGGAAATAACTTCTTTTCCTGCGTCTGATCACCTTTCTTCTTGTTATTTGAATCGCTTTGGGACACTACCCCGCGTGAAGGGCACTATATAAATGCAAGTTGTTGTATTTCCCAAAATGATTTTGAAGTTAATAGGTACTTCAACTAATTCTTTTGGAATTGACCAGGATGTGTGTGCTACAATATATTTTACAAAGTTCATTTTTCTTTTCCAGTTGTCACAAAGCCACCATATGAAATCACAGAAACTGGATGGGGTGAATTTGAAATCATAATCAAAATTTTCTTTATAGATCCAAATGAAAGGCCGGTAAGAATCTAAGATTGTTTTATTTCACATTATGTCTTAATCATGATAATCTAGAATAGTATTTCTTCTGCCCCATGAATATCAGCATGTGAAGCACTTTGCAAAATCCATCAAATTACAGTTCTGAATATAACATTTCAATGGTTTCTCCTCTTGATCATCTCTTCTGTTTGTTTAGATGGGCACTAGATATCTTATTTCAATAAAAAGTAGGAAGCTGTCCTTGGTTTCCTTGAAAATTTTACTCTTTTCCAAATTCATCAAAAAACAGAATAAATTTGGTCCTTCATTGATCTCATTCTTATTTGTGAGGCAAATAAGAATTAATAATTATTATTAACTTGCTCTGCTCTTTGTGTTAAACAGGTAACACTCTATCACTTGCTGAAGCTCTTCCAATCTGATAGTAATGTAATGCTGGGTAAAAAGACGGTGGTTTCTGAATTTTATGATGAAATGGTAAGTATGGGAAGACTATGTCAAGATTTGGAGATTTACAAAATAAAATCTTTAATAAAAATGTTTTTTTAAAGACATTGAGATTGAAAAACTGCAGAAGCTATGATTGACCTTGATTCACATTTAATGTTTTTTGTCTGAACTGTAGATATTTCAAGACCCTACTGCAATGATGCAGCAACTACTGACAACATCTCGGCAATTGACACTTGGAGCTTATAAACATGAAACTGAATGTAGGTATCAGTTATTTAATAAAAGTTATGTTGTTTCCTTTAAAAATGAGGCCTGAGACATAATATGGCTCAACAGGACTAATGAAGGCTTTCACAATAACATTGTCATATTAGTCCTACCCCACTAAATTTTCAAAGTTATTGAGTAATTGGCCTTATTTTGTACATGTTTTTAGTTGCAGAACTTGAAGTGAAAACCAGGGAAAAGCTAGAAGCTGCTAAAAAGAAGACCAGCTTTGAAATTGCAGAGTTTAAAGAGAGGTTGAAAGCAAGTCGTGAAGCCATCAACTATTTAAAGAGTGAAATTAAAAAGATTGAAGAAGATGACCAAGGAAAGGAGACATGAATACAATTTGCTTTAAATGAACTAAAAATCTTGGAACTCTTAAGAAGCATAACTAAATTTCCAAAAAATATTTTGCCTCTTTTTTTAAAAAAAATATCATGTGCTAAATGACTAAAGATTAACTGATTCACTCAAAATAGACGTTTGGACAAATGAGAACTAATGGGTTTTATTTCGAAGCCTAATGCGTTGTCGTAACAATGTTTGGCAAGCTTATTGTGAGATTTCTCTGGACTAGTCAATGTTGTTGAAGAGAAAAAGGGAAACAATGATCTGCTACAGTTTTGTATTTGGATTTTCAACGTATGCATTTTTACATTTTTATACTTAAGATTTTCGTTAGTTGATTTGCAAAATCATTTCAATAAAATGAGTTTCAAAATTGTACCATTGTAAGTTTTTTTGGAATCAAATTTGGTAGAGAGAATTAGGCTTGCATTTTCTTTGGATGTTACAGCACTTTTTCAAAAAAAAAAAAGCTGTTTGCATCTGTACTGCACCTCATTACAAATAAGATATGAAATTCCAAGGGTATTTTGTCTCCAGCGTCATGAAGAAAATAATTAAGCTTTAACTGATGGTAAAAATCATAACATAGACTCTTTTGAATGGTTAATGTTTATGGAATGTCTATTTCTACGCAGGAGTTACTGCAGAGTGACAATTTGTAAGTGAACACAGCAGCCTAGTTTTGTACAGCATTGGAAGCTGCAAAATCTTTTATAAATTCCACCTTTTATGACAGCCAGTCTCCAATCACCTCTATTCACGTGGGCTGCTCCCTGTGCTGACATTTGGCTGTGACATGGGCAATAACTGACCTGCTTTAGGGGTTTATTTGCTCTGGCTGACATAAAGGTTTTGAATCAAAGAGCTGAGCTGTCTATTGGAAGAATTTATGACCAGTTAAAGAATTTGTTAAGTGCCCTGGGGACATCAGTAAATTTAGAAAGAGAGAAAAGAAATTGTAGTTAATATATCCCGGTTCAGGGGTGAGTATACCTACCGGTACATTGATGGTTAGGGTGACCATCCTCTAAGCATACCGAAGTCTAAAAGCACAGAGCAAGTTCTACCTTGATCTTCTGATCATTCTGCTGTACATGCATTTACATCACTTGTTCTATTGTCTTAGTGGTATTGTATCCCTTTTCTCTTGAAAGCGACATTTACTGGGTATATACAGTTCAATGGGCCCCAGCAGCCTGTTACCAAAGTGTCCATTCTTCATGTGCAAGTCTCATCTGCTATTTAACATTGAGGGGTGTCTCAGATGATCCTGGTTCTTAACTCACCTTGATATCCACTTGAACATCATGTGAACGTCATTGGAGAAACGTCACGAATAGGAATTCCAGGTTGATTTCTAAAAATACCAACGATGAGATCATCTCGATTTTCTCCGAAATGGGTCCATTTAATCACTGCTTATTTCAAAATGGATTTCACTCCACCTCACCGACTGTCCCACTGTCTGCAAATGTTATTCTCAAATCTCAACACATATGGGTTAAAAAAGGTCGACATAAAATACACAGATTAACCACTGGAGGGCAGTCAAAATTTTAGTGTTTAATACAGGTACTACTGGATCATCCTGGATGCACACACGGTGGCTTAATATCCACTTGAAGATTTTGTTCCAAATTTAATTAAACATAGCGATGGTATTTTGGTGAGCAGCTCACAAACCCATTGGCAATTAAGAAAACAAAATGTCTAAACCAAGATTTTAAAATGTATGTCCTGGGTGAGACCACAATTCCAGCGCCTTGGGATGTCCTCTTGAAGTGAAAGATGCCGTACAACTGTAATTTTGTTGTTGTAGTGCTATTTAATTTGTGGTCTCTCTAATTTAAAATATATAATAATCCTTGCATTTGATCCTCATCTTTGAGACATCTGAAGTGCTTCACACAATATATGGTAAAGTGAACTGCCTGTATGGGTGAAACACAGCAGCCAATTGCACACATATTTGGATTGTTGGAAAGAGTAGCAGAGTATTAAGTTACATTATTTAAATTGATATGCAAACTAATACATAGAATGTACAATGTTGTGAATAGTAATCCATTGAAATTCAGTTAATTGAATTCTCAATTTGCCAGTGAAAATATTCAATAAATTGGCACTATTCATTCAAACAGTATTCAATTAACCGATTGATAGTCTTACATTAGGCGCGCAAATGGTTTGGGATTTCTAAATACTATTAAATTAATTGAACTGTTCAATTCTCTGATATTCAATTAAACAGATTTCACTGTATTTGCTGTGAGCCGGGCTCAGTTGGCAGGACGCTCGCTTCTGAATTCGAAGAATGTGGATTCAAGACCCACATGGGAGATTTGAACTCGTTGTCCAGGTTTGTACTCTCCAGTGCAGTACTGGGGGAGTAATGCAGTGCTGTCCTTCGGATGACATGTTAAACACGGGTCCTGTCTCCCTGTTCCAGGTGAAGGTTTAAAAATTCCAGGTCACTATTGGCAAAACAGAAGGGAGTTTGTGCGGTGACCCCGGCCAACCATCAGCAGATGGGGAAAAATATGATCATCCATTCTCTGTGATCCTGTGCAGCTCTCACTCTGGCCCTTTACAACTTTCTGTCTCACTGATCCTGTTTAGCCCGTGTGTGTATTTCTATGTGTGTCTGTCTGTCTCTGTGTGTGCCTCTATGTGTCTGTGTGTGTATGTCTGTCTCTGTGTGTGTGTGTCTGTCTCTATGTCTCTGTGTATATTTCTGTATGTGTCTGTATCTGTGTATATGTCTGTGTCTCTGTGTATATATGTCTGTGTGTGTGTCTGTATCTCTCTGTGTATATGTCTGTGTGTGTCTGTATGTGTGTGTGTCTCTATGTCTGTGTGTGTCTGTCTCTCTGTGTGTGTCTGTGTGTATATGTATGTGTGTCTCTGTCTCTATGTCTCTGTGTGTATATGTCTCTGTGTGTCTGTGTCTCTCTGTGTATATGTCTGTGTGTGTGTCTCTAAGTCTCTGTGTATATGTCTGTGTGTGTCTCTATGTCTCTGTGTGTGTCTGTGTCTCTGTGTATATGTATGTGTCTGTGTCTCTCTGTGTATATGTCTGTGTGTGTGTGTCTCTGTGTATATGTCTGTGGGTGTGTATATGTCTGTGTGTATATGTCTGTATGTGTGTCTCTGTCTGTGTGTGTCTGTATGTCTCTGTCTGTGTGTGTCTGTATGTCTCTGTCTGTGTGTGTCTGTATGTGTGTCTCTGTCTGTGTGTGTGTGTCTCTGTGTATATGTCTGTGTGTGTGTATATGTCTGTGTGTCTCTGTGTGTGTATATGTCTGTGTCTGTATGTGTCTCTATGTCTGTGTCTCTATGTCTGTGTCTCTATGTCTGTGTGTGTGTCTGTCTCTCTGTGTGTATATGTCTGTGTGTGTGTCTGTCTCTCTGTGTGTATATGTCTGTGTGTGTGTCTGTCTCTCTGTGTGTATATGTCTGTGTGTGTGTCTGTCTCTCTGTGTGTATATGTCTGTGTGTGTGTCTGTCTGTATGTGTGTGTATATGTCTGTGTGTGTGTCTGTCTCTCTGTGTGTATATGTCTGTGTGTCTCTGTGTGTAAGTCCCGCCCCCTGTGTGAGTGACCCGGAAGCAGTCCCTGGCGGCCTGTGTTACCCGCCGCCCTCAGCCCCTCTCTGTCTCTCTGTCTCTCTCAGTGTTTCTGTCGCGGGCGATGCTGTGAGGACTCGGCGCCGTGTGGCCGAGGGCGGAGCGGACGGCGGCACTTCATGTCAACCAGTTTCAGTGAGTTCAGCCGATCCCGAGCTCGGGCTACAGAGAGGAGACCCGGGGTCTGAGGGGGAGACCGGGAGCCCGTGAGGGGGGCAGTGAGGGGGGCAGTGGGGGGGCAGTGGGGGGGGGCTGTGGGGGGGGCTGTGGGGCAGTGAGGGGGGCGGTGAGGGGGGGCGGTGAGGGGGGGCGGTGAGGGGGGCGGTGAGGGGGGCTGTGGGGCGGTGAGGGGGGGCGGTGAGGGGGGCGGTGAGGGGGGCTGTGGGGCAGTGAGAGGGGGCAGTGAGGGGGGCTGTGGGGCGGTGAGGGGGGGCAGTGAGGAGGGGCTGTGGGGCAGTGAGGGGGGGCGGTGAGGGGGGGGCTGTGTGTCTGGTGCGAGGGCTGTGTGTTTGGTGAGGGGCTGTAAATGAGGCTGTGTCTGGTGTGGGGGCAGTGAGGCTGTGTGTCTGGTGTGGGGGCAGTGAGGCTGTGTGTCTGGTGTGGGGGCAGTGAGGCTGTGTGTCTGGTGTGGGGGCAGTGAGGCTGTGTGTCTGGTGTGGGGGCAGTGAGGCTGTGTGTCTGGTGTGGGGGCAGTCACTGAGGCTGTGTCATAGGAACATAGGAATTGCTGGATGAAAAAAGACCAAAGTCCATCTCGTTCGCCTTGTACCATTCTGGTAGATGCACACTACAATAATGGAGATGTTGACAGCAATTAATTCTGTATGGATTAATCTACGAAGTTAGAGATCAGTCATTGAGCTCTGTGTGTTTGGTGTGTGAGTACACTAATTGGTGCAAATGGGACGTATGCAGACACTGATCTGGACATGAGCAGATCGAGAGCTGCTGAAAGTTAGCAGGCGCATTACTCGCAGTTCTGTTGGAAAACATCATTAAGATCTCTTGGTGTTTATTTTTACTCCTCCATTGAAAAATGAAATCTGTAACATCAGAGTGATCAGTTTGCTGGATGAATGTTGCTCGACTGCTATCTTTGGGGGAGTTTTTTTTAAAGACACCCCCCCCCCCCCACCACCTCCAAAGCTGGTTCTAATATTTTGCGGCAAATGTTTGAATTGGCTGCGCAGTCATTTTGTCAGGAGAATGTTTTAGAAGACTGACCACAATAAATACTGTTACTGTGTTCTGTAGGTGTGGCTGAGGTACAGTAGTGCAGTTTTACCAGGTACAGGGCTCTTTCTGAACACTGGGGTTTCATGAGCTGTTGCTGCTTGACTTGATCGATGACTTGAATTTCATTTGAGACACTTCATAAAATATATACAGGGCAGGCCAATCTGCCAGTAATTTCTTTAGATGTTTAATGGCAGGATTTCCTGGGTTAAATTGAGCTTGTGAATATTTTATGTTTCTGAGATTCCACTGTAATTTATTATGTAACTTTGACAGCTTTTACATAGTCAGGGAATTGTGCTAAATGTGTATTTTTGCAGAAGATGCTTAAAGTCATGTTATCCATTTGGATAGATCACCTTTTCTGGTTACCTGCAGCCAGCAGTAATTAATCCTTTTGTATTAAAAATAATAATAATCCTTGCATTGGGTATTCAGAAGGACAACAACAACAACTTGCAGTTATATAGCGCCCTCCAAGCAGGGTAGCCTCTCAGAGCGCTCTGGACGTCTCAAAGCGCTTTAGGTGATTTACTGTGAAATGGAGTGACCATATTTGTAGACAAAAAAAATTGATGCGTGAAAGTTGAGATTTTGTTCAGCATTTTCCTCAGTAATTATCTCACTTCCTCACCTGAAATTGATTTTGACTTTTTTCTGCCTTCAACTGAGGTATGGTTTTACAGCTACCTGGCCCTCAACTCGTACTTTGCTCAAGTGATCGTTATTGATGTCTAAGCTTTGACAGTGAGCGGGTGATAGGCTACGCGATTGGGATGAAAACAGGTATCACAGCTGAGCCCAATCCTGAGCTCACTTGCTGTGCACACAAACTTGAGTCACTGTATAGTGATCTGGTACAGGTGCTCTGTTTAATTTTTTTCCCTCTCTAACTTGGGCCACCGAGGATAATTGTTGTACCAAAGCAATGGTGAAGACAACCCTTTAGTGCATTTGATCTCATCTTTCCAGAACACCAACCCAGTTATCTTACCTCATGGAACAAATGCACTGACCCATTGGGCGAGCTGACTTGTTAATTCTTTCAAAATATTTTGGAGTAGAGGTCCCAGTGAATGAAAGAGCTTTAACAGTTGCCCTGTTACATATGTTCAATAGCATTCACTGTGAAGGTGGTCTACTTTTACACAGTATTTTGAATCAGCATCATCAGCAGGTGTTGAATACTTTCTTAGTCTGTATTGGGATGTGTGTGGGCCTTGTGAGTGAGTCTTGTTTTCACTATATTCCAGTGGGGAAGCAGTTTGTCTTTGCTCAGGTTTTTCCCCATACCAGCGGTTTTACATGTAAGTAATAGATAGGGTGATAACAAATACATTTAGCAAAGAGTTCAGACAGCAAACTTGAGTTGAATGTAAATGGTTTATGACTAACATTTAGACTGCCATTGTACACTGTTGTAGCTTGATATGAACGGTATTTTTTGCTGGTGTATTGTTAATGGCTAAGTGAAGTTGTTGACTGTCTGCATACTCCATGATGTGAGCTTCATACCAGAGGATTAATAATGAGGATGAAATCATAAGCAGAAACTCAACCACGTGTAACCTTTGATTTCTAAGATATATAAATCTCACTTCCTATTCTTTGCATTGTTTCTACCAGAAGGAATTTTTGAGAGACTCATCAGCTTGGAGACTGTATAGTTTATGATTTTGAAGAAAAATGTAATTGCAGCGATACATTACCATTAAAGCTGGTTGTGTTTTTCACTGTTGCTGGGATGGTTTGCTTGAGGCAACTTCACCACCCTGAAGGGAGCCATATCTGAGTTGCAGGCTTGCCTATCAGAGAAGCTGTGGCTAGATTTGCCAACTTGAACGACAGAGATTGGTAAAATAGATTTTCCACTACATCTCCCGAGTCCAGTAACTGCTCGGCAGCGATAGCTGATGTGGACTGTTACCTGAGCAAACATAGTCATGATTATAACTAGAGAAAAATATCGATGTATCCATTATATGTCCTGTAAAAGACAAATGTCATAGTTGATTAGTGCACTGCATATTTGAGTTTGGGATAAGTGTTGGTGTTATATTAGGAAGATTTGATGAGATACAGTTTCTCATCTGTTCCTCACCGACTATTCCGTTTTAGCAATTGTCTGTCTTGGTACATTAAGAGTTTTTTTTTTTGTGTGGGCAGGCAAGAGCAATTATAAAATTAGAAGGTAAAGTGTTTAGAGTGTTCTGCCAGACTGTGTCTTGCTTTCGCTAGAAAGGGCAGTGAGAGGAATGAATAATTCTGTATCCTGAACCTTTTCATCTACACTTCATAACATATATTTACAAAATATACAGTCAATTCACTTTACAGTATATTCTGTGAAGCGCTTTAATGTGTCTCGAAGATATGAAAAGCACTGTATCAAATGCAAGGATTATTATTACATGTTAGCTTTTTAAGTATCTAAAATACCATGCAATAATAATAATCCTTGAATTTGCTATAGTACCTTTCTTTTTGGGAGAATGTCTCAAAAGTTCTTTACAGGACATACTATAAAGCATAGTGAAATATTCTTCGTAGGTGAGCATAGCAGCCAATTTGTGCAAAGTAATGTCCCACAATTGGGTATGAAGTGAATGACCAATTTTATTTGTGGGATTGTCAGCTGAGAAACTTCTTTTTTTTTTGAATAGTGTCATGCAATCTTTAACAATGTTAAATTGGTTTAAAATCTCATCCAAAGAACAGCATCTCCAACAATGCAGCACACTGGGGGCACAATGTAGCACTGTGTTGGAGCGTCAGCCTTGACTAAGTGACCAAAGTTGGACTTGAATACAACAAACTTCTGAGGCGAGAGTGCTACCAACTGAACCAGTCTACCTGAAGGAGGCTATAGATGTCATATTTGATCTTTGGGTGTTTCTGAGTATTAACTTGTGAACTCGGCCACTTTAAAAATGCAGTGGTTTTACTGTCCTTACACCTTTGGAATCTGGTTTCAAATCCATCCCAAGATTAAATATGTTTTTTTTAAGCTCTGAGATTTGTTTGACAATCCAGCTTCTTCTGGGCACAATACACATTTTCTCCCATAATATTAAACTGAATTAGTTATCTAAGGTGGAGGTCATAAATGATTCCCATGGGAATGAAAGTGTCACTAATGCAGTAGACGTATGCTCTTCTGAGGTTACGCTTACCACAATTTGTTGCGAATGGTGCCAAGAGAATTTTATCTGGAATCCGATCTGTGCTGTAACTGACCTATTATCAAAGTTACATGCCACGAAAAACAAGACTTGCGAGAGGAGTAATATTATGGGTTAAATAACCTGTAATAAGTGGGTGATATGACATCATCACTGGTGTGTACTCTCAGATGCTTATTTTGTTTTCTCTTCATTTCCGTCCCCTCCCCCTCACCCCAAAAGGCATAAAGACATATTTGTGTTTGCAAATGTTTTCAGATTGTGCTGTTTCAGTGTACAATGATACTGAGTGTGGAGTACTTCATGGCAGCTTTTGACTGGTCTTGAATGATTTCCACAACCTCATGTCAGGGATTTTTGTAAGCATCGCTTACATTTCTTAGCATCAGATGTTTGTGAAAGGCTGCATACAGTACCTTGCCCTGTTGAAATGTTCAGGAAGTTTGTTAGATGCTCCAGTATACCCATATTTGTACTTGTTAAAAAATGCATTCTACAAACATTTCTGTGACTTAGACTATTCCAAAAATTATGTGGAATATCTAGATGTTAAAATGCATTTTTTTTGCTTTATGCGTGTATTTGAGAACTTTCAGTCAAATGTCTCACAGTTACCATGTATTTTGTGATCTTATAATGTTAAAAAAGAAAAGCAGTCCAGTTACAGTCTGGAAAAGGGAAATACCAGACTTCAGTAACATAACCAGCAGAAAATTG